GCGCCTGGCGTGAATTCTAAGCCACCGGGTCCAGGACGCGAACTGCGGTCGACTACATGGGAGTCCAGCGACATAGCCATTACACCAACTGCTGGTTCCCCCTGTCTGGCATCTTTTTAGAAAAATTATTCATTTTTATTTTTATGTACATATGTATGTATGTACGTACATATATACATACCAGAGAGGCAAAGAGAGAAAGCGAAAATGGGAAAGCAAGCTGCCAGGTCCGGGACTCAAACCGCTGTTCGTTGTGTGGGAGTCCAGCATCCTTAACCACTACACTACCTGTTGGCCCCTCCTCTTTTTTTTTTTTCAAGAGATTTTTGCGATAGGGCATATTCATTTATTGGAGAGACAGAGACAGAAAGGGAGAAATCACTCCTCGCCTGGGGAGATAGCCATGCCTCAATCCCTTCTCCATCCTCCTCTCAAGATCTCCGCATTCAACGCACACACGTCCAGCCTTTTAAGCCACTGGATCTAGGACTTGAACCACGGTCAATTACCTTACAGTTCTGGGATATAACCATTATGCCATCTGCTAGTCCTCTGTACATTCTTTAGTATCATTAAGAGAAGTTTGGGGAACCAGCAGTTAGTGTAATGGCTATGTCGCTGGACTCCCACGTAGTCGACCGCGGTTCGCGTCCCGGACCTGGCGGCTTAAAACTCACGCCGGGTGCTTGTGCGTGCGTGCCCAAGATCCTGAGAGGAGAATGGAGGAGAAGGGATTGCGGCGTGACCATCCCCCCTGGGGGGTGATTTCTCACTTTCTGTCTCTATGTCTCTCTCTGTCTGGCGAGCGCACGTGCCCTATAGCAAAAAAAAAAAAAAGAAAGAAAAAGAAGTTTGAACACTGCTTAGGGAAAATGTAAATAAAAATAAAGAATATTGTTAAGTACATAAATACATTGGTACTGTATCTGTTTCTTCTGAATAATTTTTGTAGTCTAGGACTCTAAGCCTCTACTAAACAGAACTTTACATCTCTTACTAAAAAGAAACTACGTGGACCAGCAGGTGGCATGGAGGTTAAGGTGGCTGGATCCCACATGGGCAGTTGTGTGATTCAGGTCCTGGACCTGGCAGCTTGAAAACCTCTGTGGTGTGTATGCATGAGTGTCTAAAATCCCAAGG